CGTTCCAGTTGCTGACTATAGATCTCTGCATTGAAAGTTCGCTGTGGATTGAGGAGTTCGAAATGAATTATGCCTTTGATGTCCCACCAAGTGCAAAGCATCACTTTCTGCGGATGGAGTCCAGGTTTTGGGAGTCGCAAGTAGTTTTGGGCCAGGACTAAGCCATTGTTTTTAGCGTTTTATATTCGCATACAAAATCCATTTTTCATCACCAAAAATGGTTCACGTGCATTACGCGCCAAAAGAGACGAAGCAACGTTGGAAACGATGATCGTCGGAGAGCTTGTGAGGCACACAAGCACCTTCTTTAAGGAGTTTTCCTATTTTCCTTAGATGTTTACGTATTCTTTCATGAGAGACATGCAATTCAGGGCCATTTCACATTTATAGAACATTACATTTAAATGCGTCTACAAAATAGACTGTATGATGATTGATTAAGCCTTATAAATGCAGAGATATAGGCATATCGTGGTTGGTCTGCAAAACAATGGACAAGAGCTGAGCTGTTATCAAAGACCATTTCTTTAACTGGTTATTCAAAAACATCTGCCGTTAGGGTTCATCAATACTGGCAAATAAAAACTGTAACCTTCAACCGATGGAAACGGATTGAAGTAAAGGACGTTCGGACAGGTTTGTAAAGTGAAACAAACAAGTAAATTGTTTTCAAGATAACCGACTCCTTAAACATAATCGTAGCTCATGATTTACACGCAAGAAGATCAGATCATGTTTATTGTTTTAGATTATTTTGATACATGAGTGAAGTCTAAACAAGTGGAAAAGTAATAAGAATGGAATTGTTTAACAGATTTGTCCAGAGTAAAAACTGAAAGTCTTACAACTCAATTTGTATTTGTAAAACTGACTGTACTTTCAAAATTGAAAGAAGACTTTCCAACTCCTAAGAGTTACAAGCTTTGTAAAATATTAATGATAATTGTGAACTGCTATTTTTCTTATGTCGTGAACATATTTGACATTTAATCGATTCAGCTATGCTCTTTTGTTCGCTATTACTAAATTTTTTCGGATATTTAAGCTTAATAAATTTATGATTGAAACAAAATAATGTTTGTTCTTGTCTTTACTGACAGTTTGGGAATCTTTTGTCATTTAGACCATAAAAACTTTCAAACACAACATGCTCCTGATAACTAGACGAAACTGTATGTCTGTGTACTACATAAATGAATTACCTGGTGGTTATAATTAAAAAAAAATGTTTGTTCTTAGCGTGTAAAAATTAACAATAAATTTTAAAGACCATACATGTATATGCAAAAGTAAGAATCGTAAAACTTTATATAGTAAAAAAATACAGTGATCATAGATGTTTCCTCGTATTTCTCAAGTGAATAATTTCGTTTTTAATCGTGCACTAGTTAAGATTTTTTGGTCTTCAGTTTTACGGTAATATCTCTTCTAGGAATGTATGAATAAATGTTCTAATTCATGAAACACAATCATGACTAAACCCGTTATGCTTTATTACAAAACCATATATATATATATACATATATATATGAACATTTTAATTTTTGTTCTTAGACCTCATATCAATCGAAACGTTATTCATGATTACGCACCTTTGCAGAGAAAAGCTTCGTACTGCACTACAAAAAGTAAAAACGAAAAACATCCAGAAATGTCTTTTCAATTCAAAAAGGTTCCAATGATTTTAATTTGGCCTACATTACAATTTTGGAAATATTAAAATGTACTTAAATGTATTTGAAAAAACAAACCAAAACACTAGACTTAGTGTTGTGAGAAAGGTAAATCACGAAAGGTGGAGGAGAAGGATAATTTCTTATCTTTCTGAACTATTATGTTGTCAACTTATTTGAACAAAAATGTTTTGTTTCGCACAACGACAAATACAAAGATAAAACGTGTCCAGGAAAATGTTTTTGTTCAATAAATCTGTAACGATTCCGTTTAATTTAAAACTTATAGATCTTTCAACGTTTTTAATCAACTTTAATCATTTTAAATTTGCATCATTAAAAACGCTAAAACCCTTTAAAACAAGCTTTGAAAAAACAAATAAAAATTAGACTTAAAACCAAGAGAGGCAAGGATTTATAATATAATCGATATACGGTCTTCTGTACTTACTCTTGATGGTGATACAAACGGCTCCACCGAAAACAAGGACGAAGGCTACGAAAGTTAACTGTACAAACCTGCCAAAGCCATACATACAGCTTCATAGATACATACAGTTTCAGAACACTAGCAAGTGCAGACAGACAGGTAGGCCAAGAAAGTTCGGGTAGGACGTCAACCACCACATTTCACAAATACTGCAAGCTCTTCTGTCTTAGTCGCACTGGCGGCTTCCAACGTCACTGAGAAACCTGCCGGAAGAGGGAGCTAGTGCGTAGCATGGATTTGTTTAGACTGAAGTTCGCCCATATCTGTAACTGTCATAGAACGAAAGTAGTGTGTATTAATGATTAAAATGGCCGTCAATATTCACAGTTCATAATTTTATTATGTAATGGGTTAAAAGTAAATAAAGCATATTAATCTAAGATAAGTGTTATGAAATATTGAAACGTAACCTATTCAGCTACAGCTTCATCAGTGTTAGTCATTAATCCATTTCAAAACCTTACTTTAGAAGTTCACTAATTCCAGTTTTATAAGTCTTCTTCGTAAGTTAGACTAATGATATTTTAGGTGTGAACTTACAAAATATATCGTTTTTTCATCACTTCACATCCATGCCTTATTCCAAAAAGATGTAGAAATGAATAGAAAGATTGAAAATGTTCTCGAAGAAATAAAGGGATCGTAGTTATCAAAGAGCTAGTAATGCAACCTTAGAAAAAAATGCAGATTACTGTAACATGTTTTTTATCAAATTGTTAGCATTGAATTATTTATTTCTGAAACTATATTTCTCTGTATCGTTATTCAGATAATTACCGGTCTTTATACACGGTTGAATACGTAATATTAAAACAACTTTCAATATGCAAATCAGCAACTCACGTGACAATCATAGCCGGTAGTAAGTTTTGGTGGAATAGAATGTACCAGAACTACATTTTGACATTGTTTGGCGTTCGTAGATAGTGCGATGCCGCTGGAAATTGATCGCTTTTAGAATGGACATCTAATAGCCCTTTCCGATTCAAAATATTCGTACACTCAGATCATTAATATATATTCAGATTAGGTGTTTAGAATTTCCATGTCGGCGATATCCCTTGTAGTTAATGGTAAACAAAGTCGTACCCTACTCGTGGTAAATAAAGTACGATGATTTGTGACAGGGGAGAATCCACCAACACAAACGTCGGTGGCAAAAGCCGTTCATGTGTCCCAGACAACATTACGCAACATAATCAAGAGGGGATCTTCCCCTGGAAAAGATACACAAGTCACGTGTACACACTGTCGTATACCTCAAGCCGCTGGAGAATGAAACGGGTATTCATGCTATTCCATACGAAAATATACTGGTCAAGTCGCCAATGAATTTTTTGTTATCGGACTGTTGAAACACTCACTGGAAACCGTCGTCTTCGTATATTAAATGGCTTATGAAAAGCAAGCAAAGAGGAGTTGTGTGCTTCGTGCTTGACAACCTTACGACAGAGCCTTTGCAGGGCTTATGTCAAGATGCATGGCTATCTGATACAGCATGACCAGACGTGGCGACGTTCCAAAATCGTTTTAATATAAAGTATTCAACTCTCTGTAGTTTTTTGTTTGTTAATATAAATGTTTAAAATGTGTTTTTAAGGACTAGTATATTTTGCTTCTAATTAAACATGAAAATTTTAAATAAGTTATGAACAGTATAAGTTTTGTCTGTTAAATAAACTAGGAAAATAAAATAATTTGCAAGCTTTAATAGTAAAAACAAATACACCATGAGCTGTTGCTGCGGGTAGGGGTCGTTTCTAGTCGTAGAGGTAATGCATAGTATAAAAGCACTGTCGATCGTCGATTAATAATGCTTGCTTGTACAAATAGATGCAGCAACGTACTTCAGCAGTATACTTTTCCACCTCGATCAGCTTCGATGCATTTCCTAATTTTTCGTATCAGTATCACCTAGAATTTGATAGTTAGTTATTACATATAAGCTAGTTTTTCCTTTCAAAAACACGAAGCTAATTTATTCAACATGAATTTCCTATTATTCTTTGGAACGTAGTTCCTTGGTTTAAAGCAATATGCTCTTTGTTTTATTGCCTTCTCACTAGCCTTTTCTAGGTGACTTTGTGATGTTATTAAGAAATATTTATTAAACACAGTTTTCTTATCTTAAAATGTATACGTACCAAAACACCTATTGTATCATAATATGACCAAAGATAAGCTTTCAGTCATGCTAATACGTTGACATTGAAAGAAAGATTCAGAGGTTTTGAGTATATCAAGTCCTAGGAATTAAAAAATGTCGAGTATTTTCTCTCGTGATATGATAGGAATAATTTGGTGGAAATATTATAAATTGAACGTGAAGTATCTTTTTCTAGTTTAGTTTTAAAGATATAGTTACCAGTTCTACTAAAGCAAGTAAGATATAACTTTTAAATATTGCATGATAGTGAACCTTATGTGTGCTGAAAAGCACGTTTCTCACAATGGCTAATAAGATTTTATGGTGTTGGAATGCACGAATGTGGCATATTTGCTTTTTATTTCTGTCTGTTTCTAGGTCAATAAACGCCCTGAAACCAAATCCTGCACTCTCATTCGCCAATAAAATGTAGAATGAAAATATTTTTAAAAGTTTTCACCTCTAGCTCCCAAACTACTTCTTTTCTAGAACTCTCTCTTTTTTAGCTTTTATTATAATAGCCTCACAAAATTCCAAACTAATATCATACTATAATAACACAAGTATGGGCCTCGTTTGCAGCTTTTCTCTAGATTAACGAAAATTTCATAAGAAAATAAATGTCCTGTTTCATACTTAAAACGAATAATAACTAGATTATATTTTTAGTCGATATGATTTACTTCGTACATAACAATTTCGGTACGAGTTAAGTTTATAACTTTTGTTGTTTCGGATTATATGGTATAATCAGTAGTTGCAGGGTTATCGGTTCGTCAGCGATAATTGCAGTTGATTCCATACAATTATATCCTTGCGCTCTTATTTGATGAAACATGAAGTAATATAAGCTAAGAACGAAGTTATTATACCTTTATATATATCGTTATCGCTAAAGTATGATAGAGAATCATTTAAACAAATTAACTCTGTTTAATTATTGGGTATATAAATCACGTGCTTTGGTTTACAGGTTTGAAAGATCTTGCAACGATATCACGTTCAATCTGATAGTAACTAAGACAATATACTTAGCAACATATACTTCTGTATACGTGTGTGTTCTAAATAGGTTATAAATCTTAACCCATGTATACAGATTACGTTGAAAGATACAGTCTGTTCTGTAGATAACTATACCAATATACTAATAATCTGATATCTTTAACATATATCATGTAAGCGAAGACGATCCTATAGGGCTTTCATTCTACTTATCGCCAAGTTAATGTTCTTTGTTGAAAAGGACGGAGTATGAAGACATCACACTTTGAAGAAGAATGTCGCGTATATTTACTAATATATCCAAATGTATTGTAATTTTTCATTAGAAGTGTACCCCGTGTTAAGTTGATTTTTACTGAAATAGCTTCGCATGTTACTTTATGTCAGTGTACAGTGTGTAAACACAAATATATAGTTTCATTTGTGTCCATATAATAGAAAAAGTTTTCAGAAAACATTTGGAAAACAAAGGAGTACATCCGCTCTACCTGAAATTAGTCTAGTGATCAGTACATCCGTTCTACCTGAAACCAGTCTAGTGATCAGTACATCCGCTCTACCTGAAACCATTCTAGTGATCAGTACATCCGCTCTACCTGAAATTAGTCTAGTGATCAGTACATCCGCTCTACCTGAAATTAGTCTAGTGATCAGTACATCCGCTCTACCTGAAACCAGTATAGTGATCAGTACATCCGCTCTACCTGAAACCAGTCTAGTGATCAGTACATCCGCTCTACCTAAAATTAGTCCAGTGATCAGTACGTCCGCTCTACCTGAAACCAGTCTAGTGATCAATACGTCTACTCTACCTGAAACCAAACTAGTGACCAAGTTTGGAGCACGTTTTCAGCAGGTAATAATTAGAATAAATTATTTAATGAGACTGACTATATTAGCGATAACAAATTGGTAGAATTAAAAACATTAATTGTTTAATGTTGGGTAGTTCGAATAAAATGTATAGTCGGTTTTTTTCGTTTTTAAATCATTCGAATAAATTAGTTACTTTGTGACTGATGTCTGTTTATTATAATAGCTTAATTGTTAATTTATAATTTATTTATTTTTAAATACATGACTTAAATTCTGCTGCTTCAAGTCGTGATATAGTCTAATTTAGAGTAACCTTGTTTTTTTTTTAAGTAAATCTTTATAGCCTACATGTTTGTCTTCTTCAAATAAAGAAATTCCCAGTTGTAAAATAGCTAAATTACTTGAATAATTGAGGAATTTCATACTGATAATCACTGAGTTAATTAGTCTAAGATTAAGTAAATCATCCTGATTTTAAAACAATACTTTTACTAGTTGTTCAGACTTAATGCAGAATAGAGCTTGGTTGAACGAACTGTCTGGTTTTCGAAGGATAAAATACAGATCGACGGTTTTGAATATCGAGAATTTCTCATTCGACTATTTTTGTTTTGTTTTGTTTTTGTCCACCGAAGATCCTTCCGATATAAATTTAAAGTGTCTTTTTTATATTTGAAAGAAACACCCACGTCAGAAATGTATCATGCTTCTAGACGCCTATCGTATACCTAACAAACAATTTAACGTTTCGTTATATCTGGAGGTCACGTTGCAGAAAACAAACCTCATAACTTTCTTCTAAGAATATAGCATTTTATTATATCTCGAGTTCAGGGTACAAAAATAAACCATGAACATTCTGCTGAGATATGAAAAACAAAAACAAAAACTTTCAAATAATAGAAACAAAAATTGTCTGTTTCAGAGTTTTCCTGAAAGCTACAGAGGAGTATAACCATCCCTAATTTTGAGCTTATAGATTATATATCGAAGAGGAGACAGCTAGTCAATAATACCCACAACCAACTCTTAGCTTATTCTTGTCTAATCGCATACTGGGATTTGATAGTAAGTGCACCCGCGCTCCCAGAGTGTAGAACGTGTTTTTGCGACAACTTGTGGCGAACATTACATTTTAAACTAGACCACGTTCGGTTCCATATAAATTAATAAATCTTTCTGTGTAAAATGCATATTTTATGAGTATTAACAATTATAGTAGATTTTTCAAAGAACTTATATACGGGCTATTTATTTTCTTATTCGTTAGTTTACTTTAACCATTTTTTTACCATAATTAAAAAACAGAGAACACTTGCAACCTTACCAACCCATATTCCATCCTTGTTCTTCTTATCTTCGTGAGATTAACTGTGACATCCTAAAAGGGGAATATTTATATTTTCTTACAGTGAGATGAACGTGTACTAGTGATAAGTTGCAGTGGATTGGGAATTGGAGGGTTCACGATTCGCGTCCCGTTGCCGAAAAGACGCAGTCCACATTACATAAGAATGACAATGAAATCCTATATGTTATTAACTATCTTTCTCCCTGCCTCTAGTCTATCAGCTCAAAATTAGAGACAGCTATGCTCAAACATCTCTTATGTAGCTTGCCGCCAAAATTCTAAACAAACAATTGCTTATTTTTTAAATACCTTTATAAAAATACACATATAATCTTATATATACTGAGAAACGCGGAGTCTGTCCGAGTGTTCTTCTGTCACCCGTTTACGGCGGCCGCTTCTCGCGCTGCGTTTGAAAAGCTGCGCATGCAGGCAAAGCTCAGCATTGAATTTTGAAATGACGGGAGAACAGGCAGGAATAATGTTGATACTAAATTTTATTTCGCAAGCAGGATGTTTTACACTAAATTATTAGGAACTGATCACATTATTGTTCACATTTCAAAATGTGACGCAACTTAAAGAATAAAATTTTTAATTTACCGTATATTATGGTTGAGAGGCTCTTAGCATGACTGAAATACTTGTTTTTTTGTTTTGGAATTTCGCGCAAAGCTACACGAGGGCTATCTGCGCTA